ATGTCATTTAAAGATTTTGAACATATTTGACACCTGTGACCTTGAACAAACTTGGTTGCCCTTCATCCTAGTTTGCTACTTTGGTTATTCAAAAGAAGTTGTTTAAAGTTTTCTTTTAACAATTGACCCCTGTGACCTTGAATATGAATGAGTGAAGGTCATTTATTTGATCAAACATGGTAGCCCTTCACCCCAGCATGCTACTGGCCAAAAATCATCTCCCTGGGCATTTTGGTTATTTAGAAGAAGTCGTTTATCTCCCTGGGCATTATGGTAATTTAGAAGAAGTTGTTTAAAGTTTTTAACATATTTGATCCCTGTGACCTTGAAAATGGGTGAAGGTAATTTATTTGAACAAACTTTGTAGCCCTTTATCCAAGTTTGCTTCTGGCCAAATATCATCACCCTAGGCCTTTTGGTTATGCAGAAGAAGTTGTTTAAAGCATAATATTGACGGCATAAGACAGACAAACGACGGACGCCGTACCACAGCATAAGCTCACTTGGCCCTTTGGGCCAGGTGAGTTAAAAATGAATGTATATATAGAGAAAAGAAAAAATGTAACCTTCATTCACCAAGGTCATAAAGAATGAAGATGAAGGAAATTGAATGTGACCCAACAAGATGGTGAATGTATATTGAATTCATGGAAAAATTTAAGAAATATATATACTGTTCAATGTTTATCGAACAGTAACACAATGTATGATAGAAATTTAAGTGTATTTTCATGAGATTATATCATTTATATTTCAAGACAATTAACAACAACTGTCTAAAAGGATTTTTTTGGTTAGAGTATTGTACGTAAAGTGATAATCATCACATATAATCAGTATGTATAAACAATTGAAGTGGGTGTTAAGAAAAGCCTGATTAGATAATGAAACAAAGTTAAGATATTAAAATTTTAGTAGGATGTGCTCCTGCAATGGAGGGATGAAACTTCAAATTTGTCTATTTATGCAAACCAATGCATTTCATTCCTGTTGATGAACGGCAAATTATTTCATGACTATTGTATAGTTTAATTTAACTCAACAAATCAATCAACAACTAAAAAATACTCACAAGATAAACTAAAATGAGAAATGAAATATCTAACTCTTCTCCAGAAAAATCTCAAATTGGATCATTGCTTTAAGGCAATGCTTGGACAGTTATAATTTTCCTTTAGTCTGATCTGGCATGTTTTTGAAGTTAGATATGACTGGTACATGTACATGGTTGTTTGTGTACATGAGCTTATTCAACAACTTTACTATTGAACAACTTTAATCATTCACATAATTATTTTTTTATCAACACTTATTCCGATATCAATATAATTTAGTTCTACTTTAAAATTCTGTAATAATGTACACACGACCAGCAAAGTTCATTTATCTGATGACATTTGACCTTGTCTGACCCTTGACCTTGTCTGACACTCAACATGGACAGTATTGCTTGTTTGGATGAACAAATTCAACAGGAGCCATTTTGTAAAAACCCAAATGTTTTGAGAGATGAGAAAGAGCTATTATCATTTGCCTCAGAAAATAAAAAGATATCGATTCTGAAATGTCCAACATCGAAAAGAAAAAAAATCCAAGTTCAGATTTTTTCTGCAGTGAGAGTTAGTTAGAGAAGACTTGAGATACGTACTTTTCATTAAGGGAGGGAATCTTTCCGCTCTAGCGAGGGAAGTCGGTAAGAATGGAAAATAAAACAAGACCATTGCATCAAAAAAGGTGGAATGAGGCGCACACACGGCTATCGGAGCTTCACTAGCCAGCGCACAATGACCTTTAACCTTGATTCTATGAAATCCAACGCTGAAGCAAACGGCTCTTCCTAGAAATGCTAATGGCCCATGAATCAATCTAAATGTAAGCAAACAAAGGTCTCTGTTACATGTCAATCATGCAAAGAATTTATTCTGCCACAATTTTTTTAAATGATGGCGACAAACTCAATATGAAGGGGTATCTTTATTTCTTGCTTCTCTTGTCCTGACTGTAAATAAATGAAGGGTATAAGTCTTTGCTTTTTCACTTCGAGTTCAGCTCTGGTCAGATGGAACAAAATTAAATAAATAATGTCAATCCTGTTCCATATACCATTGTCACTTTATGATGGGCTTGCCCTTGCAAACAAAGATATGCATAAAATTACAACTTGATATTGTGAAAATGTAAATTTTGAATTTCTTTGTTTGTAATCGATATATTAATATTTTCTCACCCATATACCAATACCAAACTTCCATTACAGACTGCATGTATGTATTTTTTTTTTCTATTTGAAATGATAGATAACTAAGTTGGTAAAAATGTAAAATTAATTGTTTCTGTCATGTGAGCAGGTATTGATTGTTACGTCATTTGTTTGTGAGAATAACGTCATCAATTTTGAAACCGATGTAATTTTCTCACACAAACCAATGACGTAACAATCAATACCTGCTCACATGACAGAAATAATTAATTTTACATTTTTACCAACTAAGTTATCTATCATTTCATAACTCTGCAAAACACAAAGACGGAATAAACAATCTACACATTCTTAATATTCTGTGTAATCAACACTAGTCAGTACTGCCCTTCAAAATAAAACTGTGTCTATTCATATAAACTAGATAAGCCTGTAGGGTCTGAATGTCCCATTTGCCCTGTTGCCGACCTATAAATAGCAACAGTGACCTTGTCATTGACCTTTGGACCCTGAAATACAAACTCATGTAAGGTATTCTCATACTCTGTCTTTGTATAAACTTTGATGAAAATTTGTTAAGATTATAATAAAGGCCTTCTCCAATAAAATGGCGTAGGCATAAAAAGGTCAATGAGATCCACAATGGGTAGTGATCTCCAAAATTGATACAAAACCCAAATTTAATTTTGAAAAGTTCCTTAAATGTCCATTTTTGATGTGAATTTTTTCAATGAAGTGCTGAATTATTGTCTATTTATGCATTAATGTATTGCAAGCAGACACATTTTGCAGAAGATATGAATTCATGCCAGCAAGTGCCTATGAATTGTTTAGTCAGCAATATGATTGCAAGAAGCAACTGTATAAAAAAAGTTGATAACGAGACTGTCAGGACTTTCGATGTGCTTGTTGATCAGACAAACCAAACCTAATAGAAAAACTTCAGAAATGAAATGACAAGTTAAAACAGTTACAGAACAACATAAATAAAGGTTGATACACTGGTTCATGTGCTCATGGAATCTTCTGTCTAAAATACAAAACAAATCAAAAATGAAAATAATAACATAGCTACTGTATGTACATGTGTATGTTATACAAAGAATGTATGATGATCATGAAACAACCATACATTTTTATTGCAAGGCTGTAGTGCATTTTTGACGTCGCCCCATTTTAGTAACATATGAACACAGGCATCATGCTTCAAATACTCCCATGCAAAGAAGCATCACCACTCACCAGGGTAAACAGAGTTAGTTACTGATTGGCCATATAGCTAAAATGGTTGTAATTGTCATTAAAGTTATAAAAGAAACGTTAAGATCAAGTCTTTTACTTGTGAAAAGCATGTCCATAAAAAAATCTTTCCTTAAACATTATGATCGCATTAGTTTGGCTACCTTTATCACAACACAATTTGCAGTTTGATTTGTAGATTTCAATATGATCAAAGAGCCCGACAGAAATTTAGCATTGTGATATTAATAAAGAAAATGTATTGGAGCTAGAAAATCAGTGTTAAATCCTAACTGAAGATTATTTGTTAACAAAATGAATGTAAAGATTCAAATCTTCACATTTTTTATTTCCTTTCTCCTCATCTTGTTTAAACTGAGTATGAAAAAATTCTTACATTTAAAACTTCAAGTAGATGTGAAGTTGTTTCATAAATGAAGACATAATTAATACAATTTTTCTTTTTACATGTGTATTACCAGTTTTAAAGATAATCACAACATTTCAATATGGCCAACAAATAACATTTTTTAGGCAACCATAGTCTTGAATCTTCTTTTTTTCAATAAGCTTAACATGTAGTTAATGCAAAGACTGTAAGCAAAATACCATCTTGCACAGGCCAAATCCAAAAGCAGCAAACATGAGTTTCATTCCCGCAGTCACCCCAACATAGGCAGTTAGTCTCAGAATCAGAAAAATGGGCACAAAATTCTCTTCGGGTAAAAAATTGTTGTTTTAAAAACAATGTGCTACGTTACAGTGACAATGTGTTCCTTTACTTGACTTTTACACAAATGAATCAGTTCATTTTTACCTCTGAAATAGGTTTTACAGTAAAAAAAAATGAAATTTTTGCTACTGTGACTAATAACATTTTTGTTATTCACGAAAAACTAACCAATCAGAGAGCAGGCTTTTAGTGTGAAAAGTAACAAATAGTGAACCGCAATTCCTGTCAAGAATAATGGCCATTCTTCCGATCTGATCAAAAGTGGAGAAAAAAACATGCAAATTATTCACAAAATAGATCCAACACAACATCTGTAGTATCACATTAAGCCATAATAACTTGTTGTCATATTATAGAAATAATCACTTTCAGCTGCAACTTAAGGCGACGTTTAAAAATTTCTTTGTTCCTTCCAAAAGAAATTCAATTAAGTGACCTAAATACTTCCTACAGTAAAATAAAATAATAAAAGTATAGGGACGGGGAGACATTTTTTCATTGTTCATCTTAATATTAAGTATTCCCTAATATATACGGTATATGTGTATTGATGTGTCTGTATCACCAGTGTCTTAACACTGGAAAAGTCTTTAACACCTAAATGTTTGCCTCTGGTGATGGTCTCACATCTTGTGAGGCATGAAATAAAGCCTCATAAAGACAGTGACTCTGAGTATGTTCATAGCCTTATAAACACAAGTTCTTCTGATAGTGTTCAAGGATTTTGTTGTGGAATATAAACATTCATGACTTAAGATCCTATCATTATTATTATTAAAACGGTTCGGTTTTAGTTCCATTTAATATACCATATAAATCGGGACCTACTTCCAAAAAATGGCACTTTTTCTGCTTGGGACTTTGCAACAATGGTAGTGAGTTCCAGGGCTACAACGGGCAGTGCATCAAAGTAGGTGGAGTGTGGTACAAGGGTAAGGATTGGTGCCTCAGCAGCACACACTCGCTTCCCCTTAATTGTGACCCAGTGGAATCCACCAGCCAAGAACAATCCTCTGCACATCAGAACAACCAGTGGCCGAAATATGCTACAACCAAAAGTTTCAATTCCACATACACATCAAACTTTGAAGAGTGTGAGACAAACCTCGGGACACACCCAGCTAACATTTATATAATTCTTATAGAAATCTAATACACTTGTTTAGATGACGTGGCACAGGAATACAAACAAATCTTATTAAAATCTCAATTAAAATTAAACCATTAAATGAATCTGCTTGTATAATTTTTTTACTTTTTTGTTAGTGGTTGCTCTCTGCCATGGGAAAAACAAATTTAAACAAAATTGCTCTCCAATTTCATAGCTCAAAATCGTGCATGGTGACACTTTTAACACATATTCATGATAGCATCATTGCAAATTACCTTTTTTTACTAATATATAAGGGTTTTTTGTAAGTTTCTCAGCATAGATTTTTTTGATTATAATGTCAAGTAATTTGTTGGAAATAAAACCCTTTCATATTCAACCTGTCTAGCACTTATTTTCAATAATCTTCAAAATTGGAGATTCATTTCAAAGTAAACAGAGGAATTGTTAGAACAAGTCACAGCAAACTAGAAATTGCAATTCTGAACAGAAAATAAAGAGAAACAAATTTCACAATAGGAGGTTCATTTCAAAGTAAAATTCTTGGAAATTGTTAGAACAAATCACAGCAAACTGGACACTGCATTGCTGAACAGAAAATGTAGAAAAACAAATAAACAAATTTAAAAACAGGAAACTCATTTCAAATTTCTTAGAACCAGTTACAGCAAACCTTACATTATGCTGCTGAACTGAAAATGTAGACAAAAACTAGTTCACATAAATAAAAAAAATCCTACGGTTATATAATCGTCAACACAGAAAGCAGGACTTCATCACAACAGCATGAATAATAATTACTAAAATTAAAGTTAAAGCAACATTTCTACATTGTTCTTCAAGTTATACGAACTCTTTGATATGTTTGTGATATATTGAGAATGATTTTGATCAATAATAAACCTAAATTCTGACCTACAGATGGGGAAAGTCTCTCATTGATTTTTTTTACCAAAATGAGGCTACTGGGAACCGTTAAGTAGCAGAGCAGATAGGAAAGTAGTGACTTATTAATGCCTGTTTGAAGTTTTAAAATAACAGTCTCTTTGAACACAGTATTGCACAATTTTAGCAAACCTGTGACAGCAGAAATGACCCATTTTCGTTGTATTATTTAAGCACACTGATGCATGCTGGGAGTGCATAAGGACGGGTATTGCTGCAAACCATTTGTGCCAAAGCAATGTTTTGATCTTTTTATTTCTTTTTTCGTTTATTTGTTGTGACAAAGTTAATTTAAGGAGTCAGTGGGACTTGCAATGTAAACGATAAAATAGTGCAACCTTGATATAAATCCAGGCAGCATCAGTTCCTATAAAAGTGGCTGAATCGCAACACAGATTGATTACTAGACGAGGTCAATTTTCTGCAGATATACCAATCTTTTTCTGCAGATATACCAATCTGTCCTCTCTAACAGACTGGATAGTGGGACAGTTGAATGAGTGATGGCTGGATTCACCACCTAGGGCCTTTTATCAAACATGATGCATTCATGCCAGAACTCACGGCGTGAGGCAACATCTCACGGATTTTTACCTCTGATCAAGTCTCACGGCGTGGGACATGAATTTACGGAAAGTCCTCAAACCCTCACGGTTTTTAATGATCGACCGGTGAACCATTTTCCTGTTGTTGTTTACTTGAAGTCTTACGAGATTCCACAATGTTTTCAGCGATAAATCATGAGAGCTCTCGAGTAGCGGTCATGTGATTGGTCATGTGTAACATCTTGTTCTACTGTCACCACTTGCTAAGGCAAAAGAAACTTTGAAATACGGGGTTATGTACTGCATCATAATACTTCCTTAAGATTTGTGATGGTATACAATTGCAATCTTCTACATGTAAGGAAAGCTTGTTATTGTCTAGAGAGCTTAATTACTAAATTTGCTGTCTCATTATTGTTTGCAGGGCTTTAATTTGTATGAACACAAACATTAAGGTGGTTATTGGAAACTTACTTTCTCCATCCACAAAGAGGTTTCTGCTTCTCTTCTGGGGTCCTGAATGCCAGGGCTATAGTGGCCAACACAAAGCCGGAAAGGAGGAAGATGGCACAGAAGATCAGACGTAAGGGGACTACGAAAATGGACATCAGTGCAATCTATAATACAGGAAAGTGCATTTTTTTTATTATAAACATCCAGATTATATATAAACACTTGTTCAATTGAACCATTAAACATTTTTTTAAACTAAATCTTTACATGGTAAGCAGTATTCATTTTTCCTTATATGAAGCAAGTTTGAGGGTGAAAATTCACATTTTCCTTTTTTGTACACCTAGCTGTGTCCCATTTCCATAACCATATTTTACTATTTGAGTGCAGGCATGGCAGGAATTTATTGACGTATTTTGAGAAAAATACCAATTAGGAAAAATCTTATCCAAACCAAAAAACATTGAGAATATATGTATTCAAACGTTGATAAATTGGTAATTCAGAAATGACAAGAAACATGTTTTCTTTTAATCTTCACAAATTTGAAAATAATGGAAAACTTGAGGGTTTTCAAATCGAAATTCATGAATCTGTTTAATGGTTCTAAAGAGGGTTTTAAAATCTCAGCAATGTACTGTATGTCTAGTAATCCGTTTGAAAAAGAGCAGACCATCAATTAACCTTGATTATCATTATACCAACAGTCAACAAGAACTGCAACGATATATATCGCAATATTTTAAATACAGTACGATACACAATATTAAAGTCATGCCAATTTTGGACCAAGTCTATTTCCAGTTGTAATATTGCTCTGTATCTTTAAAGAACGAGTATCAGCCTGATGATTGCTTAGTTCTTTTACCCGAGACCAATCAAATTCAGTAGCTACCATAAAAACCTGTGTAATTTGTGCAGATCAAGTTAGCTGAAAATGCTGGAAAAAAAATCTTATATATTTTGCGCATCAATTTATTCCTCAAAAATGATGTCTATAGTTTTGAGCTTTCAATTTTGCCATGACAGAGAGTAAGTAATATTTATAAGCTCAAGGCTTTAAGGCTGATGTATTCATAAAAATAATTAACTTAACTTATAACATGTCAATCTCTGCAACCTAATTGAATGCTATGAAATGACATGTCAATCTCTGCAACCTAATTGAATGCTATGAAATGACATACTATCTTAAGTTTTTTTGACATTTTATAATGACTTTTGTGCATTCTCATAGCCACACTCATCCTGTTCTGAGGCTGGTATGCCTCTCCACATTTAATAAAATGAAAAGTAAGCTCCCTCACCATGGTCTAGGTAAATACATAAACTTAAGATAATTTGTCATTCCGTAGCATTCAGTTGGATCACAAAAGAGAGCGACATGTTACATATACAAGTACAGTGAATAATTTTAGCAAGACATCAGCCTGCATACCTTTTTATTGACTATGTTAACCTTGTTTAAAATGCACAATTTAATCAGCTAATATACAACTCATTACAAGTTCAATATAATCAAAAATTCAAATTCCGATTTTTAATTGGTGTCTTTGAATATGACTTATCAAGGGGTTTGAATTTTGGGTGATTACAGCATCTTTTCTGGGGCTTGTTGAGCCTTAATCCGTGTCCAGGAAGATGATCATGAGCATGGGTCAGAAGATCTAGGCCTACGACACACAGGCACGTTACCCCTTTACAAAAAGAAATGAATTTGTTTTGCTCAGATTTGTTTCCCCCAAAAAATGGTTTGAACTGTCGCACCCAATCGAAAACTGTTTGAGAACTAGTGATGCTTCGACCATAAACACTAGTGATTCAGAAAGTAAATGAATCACATCCGAGTCTACTCGGTCTATATGTGTGTGCATTGAGTGATCATACCCTGATCTTGTCCACATTTGTAAGGTCGATCTGGTGTACAAATGGATTAGGAACTACTGGCGTTGCCAGAGATGTCTGACGAGGGATCCCAACGTTTCTTTTCATGTTTAACGTGTTGATCGATGGTTTTCTTACAACATTGTCCGGTGTTCGCTCACGGAAACGGTATTAACGGATTTCCTGTACGCATGCGCCCAAGTCCAACGTAGACAGAGAAAAATGAACTATGGGTAATCCCTATTGCGATGCAACCACCCAAGATGGCAACCAGTCAGGACAGATAAATTTGTGAGCAATTTGGATGAATTAAGCCAAAAAAACTACAAAATATAGATGATACACGGGTAACGAAGGCAAGATGGAAAGTGGATCTAAAGGTAGTAGTGGACAGGCGGAATTTATTGTCGGTGGGAAGTACCGTCTTGTGCGGAAAATAGGCAGTGGCTCGTTTGGTGACATTTATTTGGGTATCAACGTAACAAATGGAGAGGAAGTAGCCGTGAAACTAGAATCCCTCAAGGCCAGACATCCCCAGCTGCTTTACGAAAGCAAGTTATATAAAATATTAGCTGGAGGTGTTGGTATCCCACACATTCGTTACTATAGCCAAGAAAAAGATTACAATGTCCTGGTCATGGACTTGCTTGGGCCCAGTCTGGAGGATTTGTTCAACTTCTGCTCAAGAAGGTTCACGATGAAAACTGTGCTAATGCTCGCTGACCAAATGATTGGGCGTATTGAATATGTTCACAACAAAAACTTCATCCACAGAGACATAAAACCTGACAATTTCTTAATGGGTATAGGTCGTCACTGTAACAAAGTGTTCCTCATTGATTATGGTCTGGCCAAGAAATACAGAGATAGTAGAACAAGACAACACATCCCATACAGAGAGGATAAGAACCTGACTGGAACTGCTCGATACGCAAGTATCAATGCACATCTTGGTATTGAACAAAGTCGAAGGGATGACATGGAATCGCTTGGCTATGTGCTAATGTATTTCAACAGGGGATCACTACCCTGGCAAGGATTGAAGGCTGCAACGAAAAAGCAGAAATATGAAAAAATCAGTGAGAAAAAGATGTCTACACCAGTGGAGGTCCTTTGTAAAGGATTCCCAGCAGAATTTGCAATGTATTTGAATTACTGCAGAGGACTGCGTTTCGAGGAGGCCCCAGACTACATGTATCTACGACAGCTATTCCGTATCCTGTTCCGTACACTGAACTATCAGTATGACTACACGTTTGATTGGACAATGCTGAAACAAAAAGCAGCAAATGTCACCAGTAGTGGGACGAGTGTACCACCTGGAGCCACTGCAGTGCACAAGTAAAGAAAGTTGAGATTTGAAGATCAGGAAAAGAAACTGTCATTCATTAGGCTGGTTTGACCCAAGACAATTTGTTCAGCACTAAAGTAATGTGTTTTCAAAGTATATCAAATACACACATGAATTAAAGTATTGGTTCTACGTAGCAAAGTGTCATAATTATAGCTCATGTACTTTGTAGTACTTGCTTGTGGGCATACACAATAGTGTGGAGAAAAGCCTAACAGATAATTTGACAGTATTTGATCTGGTCACAGTCTCCTGAAACTGGTTTACACGTCAAAGAAAAATAACTCTTTCTTGTCATGTACTTCAAACAACTTGACACTTGCCTGGTCAAAATTTAAAGGATTAACTGGGTACATCTATGTGTATATAATAAGACATCGCTCAATGTATATCTATCTGTACATGTCTATATATCCTTTATACATCTAATAAATTGTGGTAGAAAGTGATAATGCAGTATTTAAATCTACAGACATATTTGAGACAAAGTAAGGCCAAAAACTGTGTTTCTTGTCTGGCCAAAAGAAAAAGTTGTCCTGTTTGTCTCCAGAAAAGGTGAAATAATTAAGTTTAAGTTTAAGAAAAATGCCCACATACCAACCTTTTTTGGAACATACACAGGAGTTGGACTAGTTTATCCATTTACAGTACTTGTCAATAGAGTGAAGTTTCAGTGACTCCTATGGATTAAGATTTCGTGATACATGTAAATTTGATAAATGTTCAAATTCCAGTACCCCAGCAGGTCCACAGATGTATATAGAACTAGTGCATAAAAGAGCTCCATAAATGTTTATTCTGTACATACTTATTTAAAAATGAAAACATAATTGAAAACTGTAATATTTGGACTTCGTTTGTGTATACAGTATATATATGTACTGTACTTACCAAATGTATATATGAGACAAACGATACATATTGTGTAGAGTATTAAAAGAAAAATCAGTAGTTTTGTAAGAATGTCAGTATTTGTAATGCAGAAAAAGGTGAACTAAAAGCATTTAACCGAATTATTTCTTGTCTCAATTGTTTGTACTAGCATATGAGTAACAAACATTCAAACCTAATAAGTGCCCATATTTTTGGTATGAAAAACATACATATTTGTTCTGCAATAAATACAACCTTATATACAAATTATCAGTCATCCCTTCATGAACCTTATGGACCATAGGTGTACATTTCCATTTGTCTAACACAGGAGACTAGTAAATTTAATGTTGGGCTAGTGAAAATACATTTGCTATGAAATTATAGTATCTACGGGTAGTTATAATTGTTTAAAATCTGCTTACAAGGCTCGTATGGTACTGTAAACAAATATAAATTGTTAACCCCTAGACCAGTCGTAGGAGAAAACAAGCAGATCATAAATCGAGAGTGTTAGACACTCTGTTTCATAATAGTGGGTCCACATTTTGCAAGATTCAGACAATTGTTGGCATTCATTAGGTCAAATCCAGTTGTCATTTAGACGTTAGCAGTCGGACAATTATGCATTCACTCAAAGGTCAAATTAGACCTTGCTTTTTTTTAATAACGCAAATTTTGACATCATGTATATTCCAAAACAACTTTTGATTGAGGGTTGATCTACATTTGAATTTTATTATGTATTTTAGAGATATTAATTTGGATACTGCAGATGTATTAAAATATCAGAACTATTTAAAGATGGACAGCATTTCTGCAACAAGCTAATCTGTTATGAAGTTTTAAACATGATTTTCACGTAATTATAACTAATGAATAATGAAATCTAAACCTGGTAATTTGCGAAATCAAATCTAGTACTTGCTGTAAAATGTCTTCATTCTAAATTGCTATTCTGTACTTGAGTTGTGTATGATGCCATCAAAGTCTGATAGTAGTGCCATACTAGCCAAAGTTACAGTTTGTGTCTGGCACGGAATAGTGAACCACTTCAGTCTGACTGCTAATTATAAATAATACCTTAACAGTGTGTAATCTGACACAGTAGTGTAAAAAAATCTTAGAGAATAATGTTATTATCAATCCATGTATGAATGCTGTACAGACATTTAGTAGTGCTGTTTGAATGATGAAGCTATAATATATATATATGCTGTTGACTATTAGTGCTACATGCATATACGGTATATTGAATTGATCACAAATTTTTTTCTTGAAAGATCGGAGAAATCGAGTCCTTGTTTTTGTCAAACTTTAATAATACCTTTCTCACATTACATTTTTGTTGTGACACATTGGAAAGGAATTCCTTTACATGCATACTGTAGTGTTCTGTAATTTCTATTAAATCTTGCAAATTATTATTATTACTTTTTTTTATCACTTAATTCAGAATCATCCGTAATGACCACCACAAACATAAATATGAAATCTATCGTTCATACCATTAAGTTCCAATCTTATCAATTGGTGGAGGTCGAACATAAATGAAAACAAAATCTATTTTTGATGTGAAAATCGAACATAAATGAAACTTTGTAGCAAACTTCATCCTTGAACACTGAAACAAAAGTGTCTCATTAAATCAAAACATCTGTCTACATGACCATATGTATAAGAAAAACGATAAATTTGAAAATTTGATTTATTTCAAAATTTGCAAGGAAACTGCTACTTTTTCGGTTGACCATTAAGAAGCCCAATTATGGCCAAGGCTGCCCAATTTTGGCCAAGGCTGCCCCATTTGAATTGTGGGTAATAAAGCTTGTGTCCGCCATCCCTCGCTCAGCAGGGCCATGTTTTTATACATGTCACAGCTTTATATTACTTATCAATAGCCTGCAAGGGGAGCCAAAATTTCCTATTTCTTTTTAAACTTTAATTTAGAAAAGAATTAAAGCTCTATAAAAATGAAAATTTGCTCTAAATTATTTTGGTGATATTGAACATAATTATCACTGCGTTCCCAAATTTGCTTGTTTCTTGTACACTTTAGATTTGTTACAAGTACGGTATTACTGGTTTATAAATATGATTGCTAAAGTTTTGATGTTCATCAAAGTCACATGTACATTATTGTATATTTCGCTGTATATATTGAAAAAAGTATTTGTCAGAATGAGTGTATTATTTAATTAAAATGATTTATTGAATGTGGTTCATCCTGTATGTGAATTTGCTTCCAATTTCACATACAATATATGATTGGCAAGTCATCAATTATACATGCTTAGTTCTGCCATGTTCGTACACAAAAGTGTGAGGAAAAAAAATCTAAAAATATCTTGAGAAAGGTTCATTGTGTTGTCAATTCATTTTCTTCTTTTACCCCAACCATACTCAACTTCCCCACTCTCTTGTTAAAGTGTACGATCCACTTTCCTTTTAACAAAAAATCAACGTACTCTGTAAATAGTTTTATCTAGCTAAAACTGCCTCCCATATTCTTATCATACATCATAATTTCGTGACTTGCTTTTGAGGTACAATTTGACCTAACATTTCAGCATGTTACTAATAATAACATGCTATGTATTTACTCTGCCATTGTGTTGTGACAACAATATTGTCTTGAAATTTTGTTGTGTTATGTACATGGCATTTCACATCGGTATCTTTCCTGAACTGAACTTGCAATGCAGGATTGCAGTACCATAACCAGGATTAAAATGCATTCAGAATTTTTTCTGTGACCATCACCTCTTTCAGTGAGTATGGTCACATTCTTGCATATGTAAATTAATCCACAGCAAGCTAAAAGATAAAAGACATTTTCAAGTCATTATTCAGAGCACACTGAATTTTACAATATGTACATAAAATATTGAATGATTAATTATGATATGACAATTGAAATTGGTTAACCTGGCTGTAATGGTGATGTTAATTACCACAGTTTGTGAATATCTGATGAAATGATATGTGTACCCTATAAATGTGTACAATGTCTTGGTGTACTTGCCAGCTCATACGACTTCAGAATCCCCATTTCCCTTCTAGATCTATTTGGGGGTGAAAGTATTGTATACATGTATAACTGTGTGGCAAATTTAAAATAAACATTTTCCTCTGTTATACTTCCTGTTCACATTAGGTGTGTTAGCCCCGTTATTATCTTGAACACTTTATAGACTGGGTTAGTCATGTGATTAAATTAGGAGTCTCCTTGAGAGGGAAACACTTTACTGCTATATGTCTTGTTGTATTTTTACAGTAAAGGGAGATTAATTGTCTACGGTTCAAGTTTTCAAATTTAATAAATTATTCATCTCCCACAATATTGTCATTTGACTGGCTTCCTTTTCTTGCAACTTAAATTTTATTCCCGTAACACTAAATTTGCCTGGTAGGGAACCAAGTACATATATGAAGAAAATATTTAATTATTATTCAGAGTGGTCTGGGAACTGGTATCTTGAGACAAGAGGTTGGGGGGCTCCATGGGATGGATAAAACTGTACAGTTTTATTTTTATTACCTTGTGCAGTAGATGTCGGTGTAAATCTGTACTGCCTGTTGTTGATTTTCTCCATTCTGTGATTTTGTTGACTGTCTACCTGAGTTTGTCATTGTTTACCTGTGTAATCAGTACAAAGAGATGTGTGCATAGGATTTGATAAGCACAGGTGCTCAAATTGAATGGCCCCCTCCCCATGAAAAAAAAGAGTTGGATTTGTGAAAGACTACTGGTACTTTTGAAAATTGTTAAAACAAATCTGGACATTAGCTGCCTATATCAAAAGTTTTACATCAGGTACTGAACTGTCTGTAGTCATAAAAATTAATGTTTTTTGGGGAGAAAAGAGACAATCGATTCAATTCAAGCACCTGTGCTACTGAGTATATCTATATATATTGATGTGAGGTAGAACTTGTGTTTACATCAGTGTGATGTATAGGAACCTAGGAGTGGCTAATAGTGTATTACTTAATTACGTGTACATTTCTATGTGAAGAAATAGCTTAATTCTATATATTATACTGAATTTGTCCGTTCAATATTAATGATACTGTAATGTATTGTAGAATTGAGACGAGAGTGTTGAATGTGAATGTAGGTTTAACAGCTTCAATGTTTTACATTATGTTCCGTTTCTATAAGTAGAGCTCACATATGCTTAAAACTCCTAGTATTACTTGTAGCTACATTTTATGTTTGATTTGTTCAATTAGTGGGTAGCCGTACCAACTTTGAAATAAGAAATTTCCACTTAATTATGGTATCTAAAACGAACAAAATATGTTAGAGAACTTGATTATTGAGTTAATATCAGGGAGGCAGGGGATATTTGAGATTGGTGAATACATTTTTAAAGTAATTGTTCTTAAAGAGTTCTTATCAATGAATTTTCCTTCCCAAAAAATCGTATTTGAACCCGAAACTACTACCCTTTTATCAATTTGACAGTCAGATATAAACTGATAAGGAGACTATTACAGTGTTAAGGTGTAACTGTCCTAAATTGTGATTGTAACTTAAATCTTGTTTGTATGGTTAAAGGTTAACTTCATTACTATCACTGACCATTGTTTCCTGTGAAGCTTATTTTTGGCATTTCTTCTGTATAGTAATGGAATTTTAATAAATGTTGAAGTTCTGAAATTAATTGTTGTCTGTTTTGTTAGTCCTTGGATAGTACTACCAGAGGGGAGTATAGGTTTGTACTCCTATTTGTAAGTCCATCAGAATGACTTGCTCCAGGGCTAACCTGATAAGTTCTTTCACCTAGGATGGTGCCTCACTGTGTATACAGAGTAATGGCATTGACTTCAGGTAGTTTTTCCTGGGTACATCTTGTATATTGTGTTGCCTACAATTGACATTCAGTGTGTATGTAGGTCTTACAATGGTGGAGTGTGACTGTCCCATAATAAAACGGGCTCTTGTCCCACTACACACACAGTAAAGCCCTCTGTTCACCATGCACCAATTTTTTTAGGACACGGGTACTAGCCTCCTTTGTCAATGCACACGTAATATAACATTTCGGGGTTTGTTACAAATATCTGAAATACACATTTGCTACACTGGTATGGGTCACCAGCACATAAGTGTATGTTTGTGTGTGCTGTAACCCATACCAGTGTAGCAAATGTGTATTTCAGACATTTGTAACGAACCCCTGTGATTAGACTGAAGATTTCGTGATAGCTGCTGAATCAGTGCGAGTCGATAGCTATAGTGTATAGAGTTAGGACGTTCATTATTTATCTGACCATATATATAACGTCACAAAGTGGAATATAAAGCTCGTGACTAATTTGTGATTTTATCTTATAATAAGCTTCCTAAACACAATTAAGATGTATATTTTGTATATACAGTTGTAGCTGCTTTAAGGAGTCGAGCATCTATACCACTTTTTTAAATCCGGAATTTTCGGTAACTCGGCAGCATGCGAAAAGTCATAAACACTTACAAGACAATAGCTCAAATCTTATGCTATAATGACGTCATCGAAAACGATCTATTCACTATAAAAGTCCTTTGCAATAATTCCAAAACTATTTGTGCGTCAACCATTATTTCATCAGGAAACAACGAGGAGTTCAATTAATGTTTTAGATCTTGTCCGTTAAACACTACTTAACAACGTCAGATTTAACAATATCCACTTTGTAACCATGTCAATGATAATAGAATATACTGTTAACTGTATACTAATTAGATTGTCAGAGACAAAAATATATCCTGTGACTCGGTCTTATTGTGTATGTCCACCGTGTTATTTAAAGTTCATTTGATTGTTTTAAAATGTATTTTTAGCCCTTGCTGTGTCATTGCATACAATGCGTTCTATAGGTAAACATGATTCACCGCCAATGTAAAAACAGGAATACGGTGAGTACTATATGTGTGATTAATATAGGTAAATCTAGGAAGTCAAAAATGAGATCTTTGTCTTGAAGAAGAATTTTAGCGACCCTTTTTTGGGGCGAAATTTAATACGGGTTGTATATTAAGATACGACACAATTGGAAATTATCGAGAGATAACAAAATAACGAAAATATTATGAAAGAGAAGAGATTTACAAAGTAAGGCAAAAACGAGGAAGAAATTCTTCAAGAAGGGGAGTTTATAGGGAGAAAACCACTCCAGAAGTAAGAAGGGGGGAGGCCAATCGCAACCAAAATGTTCGAAATAAGTAGGTACCTTCCTTGTACCAATCAAATCAGTACACAAACAAAACCAAAGTGTACAGACTGACGGGGTTCTTTGTACAAAAGTGTACAGACTGACGGGGTTCTTTGAACCAAAGTGTACAGACTGACGGGGTTCTTTGTTCAAACAAAACCAAAGAGTACAGAATGACGGGGTTCTTTGAACCAAAGTGTACAGACTGACGGGGTTTTTGTTCAAACAAAAACAAAGAGTACAGACTGACGGGGCTCTTTGTCCCAAAGTGTACAGACTGACGGGGGTCTTTGTTCAGACAAAACCAAAGAGTACAGACTGACGGGACTCTTTGTACCAAAGTGTACAGACTGACGGGGTTGTTTGTACCAAAGTGTACAGACTGACGGGGTTTTTTGTACCAAAGTGTACAGACTGACGGGGTTCTTTGAACCAAAGTGTACAGACTGACGGGGTTCTTTGGACCAAAGTGTACAGACTGACGGGGTTCTTTGTTCAAACAAAACCAAAGAGTACAGAATGACGGGGTTCTTTGAACCAAAGTGTACAGAATGACGGGGCTCTTTAAACCAAAGTGTCCAGACTGACGGGTTCTTTGTTCAAACAAAATCAAAGAGTACAGACTGACGGGGTTCTTTGGACCAAAGTGTACAGACTGACGGGGTTCTTTGAACCAAAGTGTACAGAATGACGGGGCTCTTTAAACCAAAGTGTACAGACTGACGGGTTCTTTGTTCAAACAAAACCAAAGAGTACAGACTGACGGGGTTCTTTGTACCAAAGTGTACAGACTGACGGGGCTCTTTGTACCAAAGTGTACAGACTGACGGAGTTCTTTGTACCAAAGAGTACAGACTTACGGGGTTCTTTGTTCAAACAAAACTAAAGTGTACAGACTGACGGGGCTCTTTGTACCAAAGTGTATAGACTGACGGGGTTCTTTGTTCCAACAAAACCAAAGTGTACAGACTGACGGGGTTCTTTGTTTAAACAAAACCAAAGTGTACAGACTGACGGGGTTTTTTTTGTTCATACTAACAAGGTTCCAATGTAGACAAACAAAATAACGAAATTTAAATACAACGATACACACAAACTAAACTGTCTGTACTTAAGAGGCTCCATTATACACAGGGCTCAAGCTGGACCTTCTAATGGAGGTTCTACTATTCATGCACGAATCCAATGACCTCCAACCTTATATAACGCACTGGTTTTAAGTGTGTATTATATAATCTGTATTCTTCTTGGTATTCGTTTTATATTTGTAGAACTTATCCTATTGGTGGGGGGAGGAAAGCCGGATTTCCCGGAGAAAAACCACCGACCTACGGTCAGTACCTGACGACTGTCCCACGTAGGTCTCGAACCCGCGACCCAGTGGTGGAGGGAGGCCTAGTGGTAGCAGTTCAGTTCTTTATTACCTTGAACCTTACGGCTCATCAGTTCAAAATAAACATATATACAAGGATAAACAATACAATCACTCACACGCATATACACCCCCACAAATACACCCACACACACAAATACACACTCACATACCCATTGGTATAGTTTAGAGAGACATCCCTCTTTATATAGGGACATAGTCTTTTCTTTTCTTATTACTCAGTTTAATATATTTGGCTAAATTTGTTAACTGTTTTTTGTTCCCTGTTTCCATAAGTTTGATAAATGTATACATGCTAGGTCTTTCATAGTAATATTTCTTAATAAAACGCTTTCTTAAATCTAAAAAACATTCACATTTTAATATAAAATGAAATTCATCTTCGATATCCCCACTGTTGCAGTATGCACATGTTCTTTCAATCCTATCTACATTGTTATACCTACCAATTTCAATATTTAATTTGTGAGATGACAGTCTAATTTTTGTAATTTCTTTCAGATTTGTATTTCCTATGGGTTTTGTTAAATATGGTTGTAAACAGAATTTTTCGCCACTAAACTTGTACAGTGATCACTTAGAAGATGAATCTATTTTTTCTTTACATTCTTGCGTAAATATATCACACATTCTGCTTTTTATAATATTTATAATATAATCGGATGTATAGGTATCTCCATATTGCCATATGTACCCTACTCCCATTCTAAATAGTTCGTTTCTTACTCCATTCATCCATTCACTACCATTTTCTAACATTTCTTGATAACATGCATGTAAAACACAATTGTCAGTTTGTTTTAATTTTAACCAGTATTTAAAAATTCTAGAATTTCCTAATAATTTCCAAAGGCAATCTTCCTAATTCTTGGTAAACCATAAAATTTGCAGTAGATGTCTTAACCCCTAATAATCTTTAACAATAACTTAAATGTACTTTCTCTATATCTGGTGCTTTATGAAAGCCCCAAACTTCCGCTCCATAATTAAAAATACTACAGACATATGTATCGAAAACATGAAGCTGAGTTTCAACGTTAAAATATTTTTTCTTCGACACGTTTGATACTGAAAACAATGCTTTTCTTCCTTGTTCAGCGATTGTTTTGTGGAGTTTTTTTGAATTTACCATTAAAATTCATTAATATACCCAGGTAATTAAATTCATCTACAATATCTAAAACACCTCCATTAAAGTTCCACTTATCTTTTTCTCTTAATTTACCTCCGTTACGGAAAACCATCACCTTGGTTTTAGAAGTATTAACCGTAAGATTCCATTTATTTGTATAAAGTAATAAAGTATCTAACATTTTCTGCAATCCCTCAGAGGTTTCGGCCAATAACACCATATCGTTTGCATACATCATTAAAAATATATTAATAGTTTGTAGCTCTATAGAAGGACACCCTTCTGTTAAACAATTCATTTCGCAATCATTGACATACAAAGAGAACAATAGAGGAGACATAATTTCCCCTTGAAATAATCCATTTTTACATTGAAAAAAAAGCAGAATGTCAGACGCCTTAACCAGCGCGGCCCCCATTTTAAGAGTGACATTTAGGAATGTGTATTGAACTGATTGGCGATCCTGAATTTCAATATGAATCGGCGATGTTTTTAAGAAACATTATATAATAGAAATACTGCTGTACACACATCTGGTATGCTATTAAATTGCCGAAAAGTTTATGTTATCATTTCTAAATAGATACGATTTACTTACGGATGAGAGGAACAAAGGGGAACATAATACACCTATATTTTCTACTCACTTAGTCATTTTACGTTGGCTCTATCAATTCAAGTATTGTCAAAATGAAAAGTATGTTTTCTGTTCACTGCTTTGTAAAACTATCAGATTATAATCCACCCCTAAAAGTCTGTTTATACTCTACACGTCGAGATAGTTACAAATCTAAGCTCTGGTTTAGATTCTTATGTTCGTGTGATTCCAGTGTTTATTCGAACACGAATCCATGAACTCAGGCGTGTCGGCTTTAGTCTACTTATTATTTACTCAATTATGATCACGCCCCTTTATTGCGGGTTTCTATGATAATATTGCTATA